CAGTCTGTTTTAGCTCTTTTAATATCTGAAAAATATTCATTTCTGACAGCTTTGAACTCTTTATCAGATCTTACATCATTCTTTTAATCTCTTCTAGTAGTAGCTAATTCTTTTCTTTCAGATAAGATATTCTCATTTTATCAAGATTTTGAATACTCAGAAGATTTTCTCTTTAAAATATTATCTCTAACACTTGTTAGAATAATAGATGTAATGAGCTTCACTCTATTCTTAAGTATTTCATTTGAGATATCTTGATCAGAATTTCAATATAGCTTACTCTGTCTTTCAGATTTTAACAGTTTTATACTTTCTTCAACTGCTTTTCAATCAGCTTTTTCAAAGTTATTATTATTATTATTCTTCAATTATAGATGTATGCAGTCAGAGACTATGACATCTACCTGAGAACTTTTAGTTCTCAGGGTTTTTCCTATATCTGTAAAGTTAACTATTATACATTCATCAATTTCAGATATGCAAAATCAGAAAATTCCAGCCCAGAATACAAAAACTGTTTACAAATTGCAGTGTTTTAACATCATCTCATACTTTGAAATCATTTGACAATATCATGACAAAGGAAAAGAGAACACAGTCTTAAAGATAGACACATTAAATAGATAGACAGAAAGAAATTAAAAGAAAAAGATAAAATAAAGAAAGACTGTAACAAAACAAATTATTAAAAGATAGTATATAGCTGTTTTAACAGACTATATCTGGTTGATTTCCTCCTCTTCATATTCAGATAATTCTGAATTTAGCTATTTTCTTGTAGCTGCTTGAGTTTCTGATAGAAAGTCTATTAAGTATTTAATTCCTGTCTCAGTTGAGAATAAGAATCTCATATTTAATTGATTTAGATCATACTTCTCTTTCAATCTGGCTCTGAGACTATTGTATAATGCACAGTGCATTACAATATGCTCAGGATTCTCATTTATATTGCAGAATGAGCATTCTATTGAGTCAAATCTATCATCAAATCTTTGTATATAAGATTTGAAATAGCCATGTCCTAGTTTCAGCTGTATTATAGATGAGAATATTTTCTTTTTACATTTAATTGAACAAGATTTTCACTTGGGTTTTGTTTCAAATCTTGAATAATGTATACTCTTCTTTTGTTTCTGCCAGCTTTCATTTCACTTGTTTAAACAAGATTCTTTTATTTTTCTCTTTATAAAAGACCAGGACACAATTTTTTGAATAGATCTGCTTAATTCTGCACCCTTTTTTGCAGCTGAATCAGCCAATTCATTGCCATGAATATTCATATGAGCAGGAACCCAGTGCAGATGAATTATCAGCTTTGATGTTCTTCTCTTTTGAATTTTCAAAATAGAGTTTAAGATCAGTTCAAGATTCATTTGACTATTATGAATCTGACTATTTCTAAGTCTCTTTAAAGCAGCTTGACTATCAGAGAATATTCATGCCTCTTTCAAACAATTTCCTCTTTTATGAGATTTCATTTCAATGAGTTTGAAAGCTTTCACTATGCAAATAGT